AATTATTATTACTGGTTGGTGACTAAGTGACCAAAGGGCCTCTATTTGATAGTAAAACGAGCAAATGGGGAGGTTAGGAGATTTTTTTCACATGCAGAGTAAAGATATGAAATGCCCTGCCAGGAGCAGTGGTTGAAGCCAAATCCATATTCACCTACAGAGTCACCTACACACGTATGGGGAAAGAATAGGTTAATTATTTCACTTGCACTGACCATTCTGATCTGGAACTACTTGTCTATGGTAGAGCAGTACTTAAAGTTATCAAGTCTTGATCAATAAACTAGTCTTGCACTCATTTAACAATCAATTCTTCACAAAAAACACTAAAGCTGTCCCATCGTAATACCACTCTATTCCCTTCTCTATCATGTATGCATAAAGTTTCCTCTTAAATACATTAACAGACTTCTGACTGTTTCAGCAGCACACAGGATATTAAACAAGCAAAAACAGCAACAACTTGCAATTAAACAGCGCCCTTCACGTGGGCTAGCATCCTGGAGTGCTTTGGCTCATTAGGATGCACTGTCCTAACAAAAGTGTTTTTCCTTATAGAATTTGAAAATGCATGACAAAATGGAACCTTAAAAGTCACCCCGACTGAATTGTGTGCAAAGTGTTGAAAAGAAAATGATTTGTAACTTTCCTGCTCCCTCAAATAAACCAGAAAGGTCTGCCAACCCTTTTTTTTATATGTGGGCAGCAGCCCTTTAATTGAAGATGATCTCATACAAATGCCATGCATATGGATATTATATATGGACAATGTACTACCTCATTTCTTAACCCTCCCATCCGCCCCACCAGGGACTGTTCTTAGATGATATCTGTGTTGAACGTGTACCCAGAAGGTCAAAGGTATACATCAGTGTCCCTTGGGCATAACACGCAAGAGGATGCAGTATTATTCGCTTCAGTAGTGTACAGCGAACAGGAAACAAAAAAAACTTTATTAAAGTCTTTATTTGTAGATTACCTCTCAAGGCAAGCTTGTACCTTCACTTTTCATACAGCCTTAATTTTTTGACACAGTACAACTAGCTGTTACGCATGTTCTTCTCGTAACAACTGACCCCAATTTTTTTTGACGTGAAAGCCCGCATGAGGATTCCCCCCTGCCCCTGGGGATTTGGGGAAAACGTTCAAGCTGCACGCTGATTATTGCCAGCACAGCGGGTTGATCACTGCAAGCAAATCAGTGTGAAAAACCCTAAAATGCGAGGGTGGGGAAAGGTTCAGTCAATGCATCAGTAGAGCTCTTGAGGGAAGTGGGTATCTCTCTCCTCAAGCGGAGAGATGGGGACTCTCACATTACTGTTATTTTCAGATACACAGGAATGACAATTAAGCTTTTAAAGTGAGCCAATGTAAAGCTGATATCTCATGTTGCTTTGGTCTGTCAGATAGCTCCTTTCCAGGTGTGAGAAGTGACTTATTATTGTGCAGAAAAGGTATTTGGATGCCCCAGAACAATATTATAGTAGCTTGAGTTTTCTTGTAGCTTCATGGTAACAATAATACAATTCGAGGACCTCACTTCTATCTTGAGTGTACCTTCCTTACATTCTCCTTCACATTTCCTTTAGCTGGTGTCTTGCACTTCTTCAATGAACTTCCATTGTAGTGGTAAGTGACTCCAGTTCCATAATTGAATGATATGTGCTTGCTTAATTATAAACTCATACCATTTCCAGTACGTTTATCGTTCAGAAAAACACAGTCACTCCACTTTACAGTATCGCCTGTAAAGTTCTTTGGGATGTCCTCCTGATGTGAAAAGGCGCTGTATCAGATGCAAGGATTATTTCTCAACACTAGGAAAGTATTGTTGCTGCTTTCAGGTGGATCACAGATTACACTTGATATACAACAGTAATCATGAGTTATTCAAATGATAATAATGATAATAATAATCCTTGCATTTGGTATAGCACCTTATCACATCTTCGAGCCGTCTCAAAACGCTTCACAGAATATACTGTGACTTGACTGTATATTTTGTGGGCGAAACGCAATAGACAATTGCGCACAGCAGTGTGCCACAAACAGTCATGGATTGAAGTGACCAATTTATTATTATTATTTTTTTGAAGGATTTATTACCCCCAGAAAAGTGATCTTCCAATCGACTAACAACCGGGTTCCTACTTATTGCAAGGTAAACAGAGGCGTGTACTTGTCATAAACTTGTCCAACATGTTGCCTTGCCCAGGAATTGAACCCAGGTCTCTCGTTTGCGAGTGCTCTAACCACTGAGCTACAGAACTCCACATTGATGAAGGCTCCTTGGACCATTTGATCTCTTCCTTCCATCATAAAGTACATAAAGGTGGTCCTTAAATTAGTAGGGCTTCCTGGCATTTACCCTCTTGGCAACCAGTTCCAACTGATAATTTCCCAGAATGATGTGTGGAACTATCCTGCTGCTCTAGATGGGCAATTGTGGCAGATTTCAACATGTTTTGAGAAAGAGATAACTAGCCTTGCATTCTCTGTTTGTCAAATGTATTACAAAAGGAGATAAACGCATTGAGAAGAAAAAGGGGACAGGAGAAAATTTGAGAAAACTTAATGGTACAATGAAGGCTGATTACATTGGATGCAGCTTGTTCTCCATCTTGAGTTAACCCACTAAAGTCCTCATCAGTTTTGCTTCACTTTGCAGCAGAGGATGTACCCATTATTTCCACTGTTGCTGCCTGTTGTGGCGAAGTATCAGAATAATGGTTCAGTCAGACTCTTGAGGATACTGCTCATAATTCTGTGTTTTTTGAAACATGAATACAAATCAGAGACACAAGAAAATACAAAGGCACTTTGCAAAGGACACCTTTCAAATGGCCAGTGGAAAACAATCTGACAGTTATTCAGCATAGGTTTCCCAGGTCTGAAATGGTTTTATCTTTGAGACCATTATCTTAAAATTGAAGCATGATACAGAATTTACGAATACTATTGAATTGGAAACATTTCTATATGATCCTAAATTTTAAGACAACATCCTTGAAGCTAAGGCCATGAGAATTTGGGGTTTTTAGATGTGAATTTTAATTTTTAAATAACACCCTTTTCCCCACACATTCAAATTAATATACTCACTGTTCTGTTCTTGCTGCTAACGTGATGCTATAATGTAAAATGAAAGAGGAAAAGAATAGGAGACAGTGATATTCAAGGAAGTGGGTATGAGAGAAAGACGAACCAACGTTTGGATTTAATTTCAATGCTGATGATCAAACATGCAAAAAATTATTTCTATTTACTGTAGTGCAAGAGATCATGACCAAGATCTGTTCAGTTAGATTAAGACTTGGCTGAATGACCTCACAGTATCGATTGATACCAAAGTCAATAGCACTAGCCAACCTGAAAAAAAAGTCCTCTGCATGTGTGACATTTCTGAAATGAATTGTATCAGGTTTTGTTTTCTCCGTTGCTGTCACTTTCATTCCAGTTATGCTGGCAATCACCTCACTTTGAGGGATTAGACCCAACTTCCACCTTTTTAGACAGCTATAAGTCAAACAGTTCAGATTTGTGATGTGATCCGTGTAGGCAGCATTTTAGATCTTTATCGGAGAAACTTCTATCTTACTAAAAAAAATCAAGAACTGTTCACAGTGTTTAATAATGTATTTAGCAAGCCAAAGAACAGGATGGGTAATTTTTAAGGACAACATAATTAGACTTTCAAACATCATTTTGGAAGTGAAGTGATATATTTCCCTTAGTAGAATGGACAGGAATATTTATACTTCCCACTCCCAATTGTATTGGCCATGGCTGAAATGTGTTCTGTAGCTGCACAACCAACAGCACTCGCAGACCACAGATAACCAGTGTTGTTAATGTTTCAATACGCTCTAATTTTCAGGTTGTGATAATCGTATGTAAAATAATCACATGTAGAGGGATTTACAGATAACCTTAACTAACCACCTTCCAGTAAAATTGGTCAATCGATTCATGGTTGTTTGTGTGACATTCACCTACAAATACACAGTTACTACACTTAACAAAAATACTCTGAGACATTTGATAGTTCAAACCTTTTGTGTGTGTGTGTGTGTGTGTGAGAGGGAGAGAGAGAAAGAGAGAGAGAGAGAACATGATATTTCATCATCTAAATGCAGCATGTAATATTTTGGGTCTTATTTTAGAGACCTCAGCAGTCAGTGCCTTTAATTTCAACAAACCCTATGTGCTTCACTACTGATAAAAACTAATAGTATCCAGTGGGCAATTCCTGAATATTTATCAAAAACATTTCTGTTAATCTGTGGCAGGTTTAAAACTCAGCAGTAGTTTCAAACCCCATGTGACTGAAGACTGAATCGCAGAAGGTATAATAATAATAATCCTTGCATTTGATATTACACCGCATGTTGTCAAGACATCTCAAAGCGCTTCACAGAAAATACTATGAAGTGAATTTAGTGTTTATCTTGTGTGGAAAACGCCCTACATCCAAGGATTTACAGCTGTTTTGCACAAAAGTTTCCTTATACCGCAGGTAAAAATGAGCATTTAGCTTTTATGTCATTGTGGATGAAATCTTCGTCCTCCTGTTCAGCAATATTGATGATGTGCACAAATGGGGACAGAATAGCGGGTGTAATTAATTACAGGCTGTTTGACCCAGGCCATTACAGAAGCTATTTGCACCAGTGGGATGCCATGCGCACTAATGGGGTAAATAACAATTCACCTGGAGGATTGGTAATAAGGACACCTGGAAAAACTTTCTGCTCTTTTTGAATATTATCACAGGATCTTTTCAAACCCCAAGAACAGAAAGCTGGGCTTTCAGTTCAGCATCTTACCCAAAAGACAGTACCTCCTGACGAATTCAGCACTGCACTAGAGTGTCACACTATGAGCTCAAGTAACACATTGCAATTATATAGCACCTTTCATGTCAGGAGGACATCCCAAGACGCTAGTATGTTATCAGTGTGTATGTGCGTAATTTATTACCTTTTTTTTCTGATTCACAGATTATGCTCAAAATGCCTGAGACTCATCTCTCCAGACAACGCCTCAAATTGAAGCCCAGGGACAGTATTGTGCAGTGAAGTATACCAATTACTTTTCAAAGTATTAAAATGAGATTTTTCTTGTAAATATTTCACAATAGGTTGATTACTGGTGTTGCCCTAAGAAAGTCTGTCCAACGACTCTACTTTGTGTAACACAACAGCCGTTTATTGTGATTAAGCCATTGAGTTTACTGTAGCCTAGGCAGAGGGTCATAGGGAGAACAGTGAGTCAGAGGTGGAAGAGTCAAAAACTGATCATGCAACAACTTCAAAGGAACGATAGAGGTGCAACTATGAGCTTGCTTAGTGGGTTTCAAAGCCATAATATCTTTTGTGGGGAAGGTCTGTGAAGGCCAACTATGCATAACTAAAATGCTGATTTTAAAAGTTAGGCTGACCCAGTCCATTGGACCTTAACCTTAATGGGGACCAACAGGGCTGAAGGCATGATGGGGAATTTCTTTGTAATTCGTAACCATGTACAAGTTCTAAATGTATATACATACAAGGGAAGTGAGACTTTTGTTTCATCAAAATACTACTTCAGTCTCCTCTGGATGATACCAAAGATGATTATGTGTAGAATTTTTGCATAGGGTACGAAAGGAGGAAACCACATTGAACGGGAGCAATAAAAGGGCAGGAATCTCTTGCGCTTGCCCTGATCAAACTATTGACCCCATTAGTATTGTGTGTAGAGTTACTGTATTCAAATGAACTTTTTTAAAAAAGAGATGAATGACAAAAGGCCCCTAATCGTATCAACCCAGAAACTACAATCACTCTCCAGTATATCCTGTGAAATACTTTGAGATATCCCCCTGACATGACAGGCTCTATACAAAATGTAAGGATTATTAATATTTTAATTTTTATAAAGTCACTGATCAATACATCTCTATAGTTATTTTTAATAAGGCTACTCTGATCAGCATAAGGTCAATATAGATATTTGAGGTTTGGTGCCACTTATCTGTAACAAGACTACTTAACTAATATGTAGCTCATTATTCCCTGGTCACTTGAGATTTCAACAAGAAGACAAACCTACTTGTCTGATCATCAAATGTTATCAGAATAAATTCCCTTGTGAGAGGATCTCGCATCATAAGCTTATCTGCAAATTCACATTATGTATTATTCGGGAGAGGAGCTGAAACCATGAAAAAAAATGCTCCTCACTGAGTTTAAAATTGAGATGTTCTTTTGGCAGCAGTAAATTGTAGTTACTTTCATTTGATAAGTATTTTGACAAACTTATCACTGCTAATATTGATCATACCTGCCCAAACAGAAATGATGTGTGTAAACCATACAAGTGACAATCTTGGTCAATGCGGAATATGAGATTGGGTCAGTGAAAGGCAGAAACCTCACAGATCGACATCTTGTAATGTTCTTAATTACAGAGAAACTGGAAAGACAACTGAAAACAGAGTGTTTGTGTTACTTTTTTTTCTTGTTGGTTTAAACACCCAAATCAAAACTGATTCTACAGTTAACCACAGTAACTGCCTCCTACATAGTGTCTTCTGTGAATTTACTAGCTTAATGATTGCAACTGAAAAGATCTAATTGATACTAACAGAGGGGTATTAACATTATTAATTCAGGGGCACTCAACTGTTTATATTGTTAGTAGAAGTTTCAGCATTTAGTATGCTCCACTGAGTGCTTCAATATTAAAGTAACACTGCTTACATTTGATATAGTGCCTTTCATGTCAGAAGCACATCTCAAAGTGCTTCACAGGGTTACTGTAAAGTACAGTGACTGTTTTTACAACAACAACTTGCACTTATATAGTGCTCTCCACACAGGGTAGTGTCTCAGAGCGCTTAACAGTGGCGGAGTCTGGCTCTGAGCTGGTGGGGGGAGGTGGCTGTAAGCACGGTTGAAGAGGAAGGTTTTCAGGCAGGACTTGAAAAAGGGGAGAGAGGGGATTGAAGGAGAGTGTTCCAGAGTTCTGGGGAGTAGTGGCTGAAAGCACGACCTCCGATAGTGGGGCAGAGGGTGTGAGGGATGAGCAGGAGGCTGGCGCAAGTCGGGCGGAGGCACCCGGTGGTGGATTGGGGAGTGAGGAGGTCAGAGAGGTGCCAGCTAGTGAAGGAATTTGAACACAAATGTGAGGATCAGAGCCTGTCCAGAGCTGGTGAGATGCGAGTACGTAGTTTGGTCCATGTAAGTATGTGGGAGGCAGAGTTCTGAATGAGCTGGATTTTTTGAATAGTGGAGCTAGGGAGACTGGCGAGGAGTGCGTTTGACTAATCCAGGCGGGAGGTGACAAACGCATGCACGAAGGTTTCGGCTGCATTTGGGGTAAGGTACAGTCAGAATCGGGCAATGTAGCGGAAGTGAAAGAAGGCGGTCCTGGTCAGGGATTGGATGTGCGGGAGGAAGGACAGCTGGGAGTTGAACCAAATGCCTAGATTGCGCGCTGGTTCAGTGAGAGTGAGGGAGAGCCCAGGGAGGTTGAGGAGTTCAGATCCGCAGGAGTGAAGACGTTGATGGAAGCCCAGGAGTATGGCTTCCATCTTGTCCATATTCAGCTGCAGGAAGATTGCACTCATCCAGGCCCTGATGTCTGCCAGACAAGCTGATAGAACATCGAGAGACCTGGAGTTGGTACTGGAGGAGGCAAAGTAGATTTGTGTGTCATCCGCTTACATGTGGAAGTATACTCCGGGTCTGTGGATGACATCGCCCAGAGGGAGCTTATAGATAAGGAAAAGAAGAGGGCCAAGGATGGAGCCCTGGGGTAGTCCACAGGTGATCAGGTGGGAGCAGGAGGAGAAACCATTTGCCGAGATGAAATAGAGGCAGTTGGTTAAGTAGGACTTGAACCATGCAAGTGCAGCCCCACTGAAGTAAATGAGGGAGGCGAGGCAGTGGAGGAGGATGGCGTGGTTGACTGTGTCAAACATGGCAGAGAGATCCAGGAGGATGAGGAGGCAGAGGGAGCCCTGGTCACAGATAGAGCAGGCGAATGCAGGAGAATATTAATGGGAGTGTTGCTCTATTTGCAGGTAGTTTTTTNACTTTGAGGCTGCAGATTCCCTTTCTGGCATTATAATAGAGAGAGAGGATCTATCTCAATTCACTGATCCGTGGATTTTGATGGATCGTAAAATGAAAAACAAACCAATAATAATACAATCACAGAGAGCATTGATGTTTTACCTGTAATTGAAACTGTGTCAAACCAGTGTATCATTTGTTATATCTCTGTTTTTCTGTAATTTTTTTGTTTCAGGTCCTAAAACTGTAGCTTTATTACTATTTTTAAGAAGGGCTTTTCAAGAACTCGCTACTACAGTATAATATTCCTGCATGAGTATATATGTCTGTAGCTGAGAGTCTTAACAGCTTTAAAATATCAAGTTGTGAATTCAGGGAGTTCTGACTTTTGGGAAACTTTGGGAAATGCTGGTGCTGCTCCTGTTCATCAGAGGTACAACATCCAAACCCCAATCATAGCTTTTATAACAGTAGCAATAGGCTATTGTTGCTCCATCAGTTTACAAACTGGCTCCATATGTAGTGGTCCACAATTGCAAGATACATTATAGATATATTGGGAATCATTATATGGGAAGAAGAATAAATTCTCATGCAACCTAATCATAACATTTTTATCATTTAACCTAGAAACTTACAGCACAGAAGGAGGCCATTTGACCCATCATGCCTGTGCCGGCTCTTTGAAAGAGTTATCCACTCAGTCCCACTCCCCTGCTCTTACCCCATAGCCTTGCAATTTTTTTCTTTTCAAGTATTTATCCAATGTATTAATTGTACAACCTCTTACATAATTAAATCCATCCTTGTACAGCTGAATAAATTGTGGAGGAAAGAAAGAACCCAGCTCAAAAGTGTTCAACATTTTAAAATTGTTTGAAACTCAGGGTGCTGCCCCATACCACAGTCTATTTTTAGCAATTGAAAATAGCAGATTGTACCATAAGCTCTTCCGAAGCAATAGATAACTTGCTGCTGTCGTAGACCAGCAAGCAGCATTTCATGAATTTGCTTCAGAACATACACTGAGCACAATGATTTATTCCCTAAACTCATACAGCTATGGAATTTGATCCTTCAGGACTGAGTTGGTACAAAATGTGTTGTCCAGTATGACTGAGTACTTTGCCTGAGGTTGTTATAATAATACTTTCATTTGATGTACCGCCTTATCACATCATTGCCTCTAAGCACTTCTGAAGATGTACTGTAAAGTGGTGTGACTGTGTATTGTGATCGAGGGGGATTGGGTGTTTGCAGCTGGCTTGAAGTTTATTTAATGGCATATGCTGTCACTGGAGGAATGGGTGAAACATTCCATTGCTTTGTGCTTGTATTGTTATTGTTATCATTACAGTAAATAATAAAAGTTCCTACAAGACATTTGGGTTTCCAAATGCTTCCCTGTGAACTTGCTTGTCTCTGTTACTATAATTTATCTCTCATTTTGTGTGTGGAAAATCTTGGTCTTGATCTGCTTTTACCTGTGCACAAATCACATGATCAATTTACCACAAGCCTTTAATATCTAGAACAGGAAATAGCAATGGAATATAGTGGAGGGCAGTGATCATGGCATGTCTGAATGCTCCAGTAAATACAGATAACTGCTGTAAGGTCTGGATTCAAAATAACAGACTCAGGAGGCGGTAAACGCCTCAATAGGTACCTAAAAAGTAACAATTTTTAGGCCTATAGGGTAAGAGCAGGGAATGGAACTATTTGGTAGCTCTTTCAAAGAGCTAACATAGGCACGATGGGTTGAATGGCCTCCTGTGCTGTAAGATTCTATGAATTCAAGATCCTCATCCTCACCTATAAGGCCATTCATGGCCTTGCTCCCTCCTACCTCTCCAACCTACTAGCCCCCTACTTACCTGCCCTTACCCTCCGTTCCTCCGGCTCCGGTCTGCTCCACATCCCCCACTCCAACCGCCCTACCATCGGTGGCCGGGCCTTCAGCCTCTCAGCCCCGAGGCTCTGGAACTCTATCCCCCAGTGCATTCGCCGCCTCCTCCCTTTCCTCCTTCAAGGCCGGTCTCAAGACCTTTCTCTTTGACCGTGCCTTCAGCTCCCCTCTCGACTCTCTTCCCCCTCCTCGCTCCCTCCCTTCCCTCCCCTCACCCTGACCACTTCCCCCCTGCTCGGGTCCTGACCCAACTGTCCAGCGTCTTGGGACATCCTCCCGATGTGAAAGGTGCTCTACAAATGGAATCTTGTTGTTGTTGTTGCATGAACATAAATGAGCACACAGTTTTAATATACAGTGCTAAGGAGTGTGGTGATTACAGTTTGCAGCTACCTTCTTGTAAACCGGTTAAAAAAGAAACAGAAGTGGTTCTGAGGCATCGAAGGAAGGAAGTTTTCTTTCAGAACATGCAGATATTTTGAATAGTTATTTTTAGAATGTTTGCTTGCATTTTAAAGGCAGTACTCGGTAGCTTGTTGCTAATGTTGCTACATTTTGCACCTTTTTAAAAAAAATCTACAAATGGTTTCAGCCGTTTCATGATTTTAGAGTATGTTGTGAATTGATGTTTCCATTTCTAATACACTGGAGCACCAGTTGTGTGTATGGGCATTGGGCTAAAAGATACTGGGGTGGGGGAATTGGCAAGAGTGTGAGGTTACTTGGGATGCAACTTAATTGCTCTGGCATCCCAAGAAACATGATGCACATGCACGCAACTTTGGGTACATCAACAACAGGATTTTTTCCCAATAGCACAAAGTAAGTCTGTAAAAATGAGTCGTTATGTTCTTATATAGTGTAGGGTTAGAGTGAGAGAGAGACTGAGGGGTGGGGGAGGTGTAGAAAAGGTAGGCAGGGAGAATAGAGCTGTTACACTGAGGTACTACAGTGATGGTCTGATTCCTGATGGAACACTTTTGTGTTATCGCTGTAGCTAATTATCCACACTGATTGCTTAAGTGTAATAGGAGAAATCCTAATTCATGTGGATAATGGTCTCTGTACTGTAAAAGGGTCATGGATTATAAGAAGAGATGCGTAGACGGGATTTTGGTTGAAAATGAATGTTAATTAGTTGCACAGTGTGGACACAGTAACCCTCAAAAGGGTTAACTCACTTTCCTCTCTCCATAGATGCTGCCTGACCTGCTAAGTGTTTCCAGTGACTTCTGTTTTTATTAGTACAGTGTGGAATATTCTTTTCACCTGACACTGATCTGATACTTATAATTAACTTGTAGGTTGGTATGTATTTGAATTCATATTAGATGTTACTCTGCTGAAGAATGAGGAAAAGGTGCTAATCTTTGCTTTTGAAATAGTGCTTTTCACTTTGTGAGTCTCAAAATGCTGAAAAGTAGATTTGTTGGTGACACAGCAGCCAATTCGTGCACAGCAAAGATATGGCAGTAAAGTTAATAAAGTGGACAAAGCCTTATAAAACAATGGTTCCGATCACTAAACACAAGCACTAGGTGAAAGGACCATCTCACCATCCAGATGGAGATTGTGACTATAACAGTAACCCACTGTAGACAATACACAGGGGAATTACTTTGAGGGGGTGGGCAACTATTTTTCTTTCAGGTGAAACCCCACACCTTATAGTCAGCTATTCTTAATGTTACTAGGGGAACTAAAACCTCAAGTCTTCCTTCATATTTTATGCTATTTCTTTTTTTAAAAAAAGATTTTCCTATCTGTCTAACACACAAAGAATTAAGTATTTCAAAGACAGTTTATCCGTAAATGCTTTCTCTAATTTGAGGGTTGTCTTGTTCACTGATGAATATATTTATGGATCAGATCATTGACTAAATAATAATAGTAATAATAATCCTTGCATTTGATATAGTGCTTTTCATGCCTTCCAGACGTCTCAAAGTGCTTCACAGAATAGACTGTAAAGTGAATTGACTGTATAATATTTGTGGGCGAAATGCGGCAGCCAATTGCGTACAGCAGTGTCCCACAAACAGTTGTGGATTGAAATGACCAATTTATTTTGAGGGATTATTATCAGGCTTGTGGAGTAAGGAAACTTGCCCAAGATTTCACCCTGCCAGGAATTGAACCTAGGACTCTCGCTTGCAAAGCGAGTGCTCTAACCACTGAGATACAGGACTCCACAAATAAATATATTTCTTATTCTGTCTGCTGTTGAATTTCAATTTTTTTAAGTTGTTAGGTAATGGCTGTGCATTCTACATCGAGAGATGATGTAAGTTACATCACTATTTTCTTTAGAATTTTTTAAATTTGACGGTATTGTACTTTTTTCCTTTCTGTTTCATATCCATGGCAAAGTTTCTTGCTGCCTTGTATTCTTCCTCTCCTGGTATTCTCATTGGATTGAAATCAAAATTTACTGTACAATTTTCTATTTTAACTCATTCTTTCTCTACAACTCAAAATTTTACAACTCCATGATCCCACCAGTATTCCCTTCCTTCTTTCTCAAGCCAGTGGTTTGGCGCAAATCCTATGGCAGGATTTGCTCCTTGGCTATTGTATAATAATAATAATCCTTGCATTTGATATAGTGCTTTGTCACATCATTGAGAAATCTCAATGCACTTCACAGAATGTACTCTAAAGTGAATTGATGGTTTATTTTGTGGACAAAACATATGTATGCTGTTAACAACTGGAGCTAAAATAAGACCAGTGCAAATTATGTTCAATTTAGTAATGTCAAGGTTAGAGATCAGCACACACGTGTGTACTGCAGTATTTACTGTAATCGTATGAGAGTATTTACTTAGACCACTAAATCTGTTTGGATTCTGTTTATTGACATATTTTGACTCATCTCTGCAGGCTTACTGGCATTTCCAGGTGTGTGACCGTTGAGGTTGCACATATCACGACAGTCTAGCGTAAGCTGGAAGGATGGACTTGTGTCGCTGAGAGCCACAAAAGACAAGTGTTAACCCAAATCCAGGTTACACAGACACAAATCCAGAATGTTAAAGCCACTGATTTACATGTGGTAAATACAAACTCATTCAACTGTCATGGCTCTTTACAACGAATATAGTGTATCTGTTTGAGGATGGATGAGAGAAGAATGTTTCATGTCCTTGCGGATTTAGTTTTATTTCAGTTTCAATGTGTCCTGGGAGTCCTGATTCTGAAGACCATTCATGCAGTATTGTGCATGGGAGTAACCCAATAATGGAGAACTGAGGCCCCAAATGCCACGTAGTCTAAGCCTTCCACTTTTCTCTTATAATTAAAGGTTGTGCCAAAGTGTGGAACATTCTTAGCAGTTTTCTTAGCAGTTTTTCCATAAGTCTTATAACAGAAAGGTTTCTAAATTATGAACTTAAAAAAATTCCACAATTTTGTGGAGTCTAAAAATATTTTAAGACAGTGGTCTCTTTTTGACTAAGACTTGATGGAATATAGGGGCTCTGGTCTCAAAGTGTACAAATCCAGGCTTGACTTCCATTCAATTTCACTGCAGTTCCTGGTGGTTAGATCTGGTGATTGTGTTCTATTTTCAACCTGAAATCCAGGCTGGAAATTATTATGATTCTGATGCCTGGTTTGAAAGTGATTTGGAACAGGATCACTATTGATAGTGCATACTGCCAATCAAAGGTATCAGTTCTGTACTACAATTAAAAATGATACACTATTGGACCACTCAAGTGTCTTAAATTGAACTCTGTTATTCCAAAAAATCACATTTGGGACTGTTACAGCTGAGAAAGGAGCTATAATGATAACTGAGTTTTCAACTGTTGTGCTTATGGAATGTTTTTTAACAAAACACTTATTGGCTTCAAAATGTGTACTTTGAAGAGACAGTTGTTGATATTTGTTGGGATTTTTGTCTGACGGACAATGTATCTTTTAGTCTTTTGCAGATGTGAAATTGGCTGAAGAAAGAATATGGGAAGTACCATTTCACAGAAATGATCTCAGCAGCACCAGCAAAGAGGAGTGAACTGAGCTTCCAACTTCAGTGTAAAATGAATCCACCTGAAGACAATATAATTATTTGATCTGTAAACCGTGCAGTATAAACATTGCAAATTTCATTCATCTGCCAGGATTGATTTTGTCTTGTGTTGATCACATAAACATATCAAAGTAAAAATTGTGACCAGTAAAAAAGGCATTGGTTGATCCATGGTGGTGTGGCCCATCCTGCACTCCTCCTGTTTCTCTCACAATGGATAGAGCCCGAAAGCAGCCCAGTACTATGGAACTCACCAGTGCTTTATACTGGTATATCGTTCAGGTTACTATTGATGTTTCATGCAAAACTTTTAACTGAGTAAGACAAAAAGGTTTTGGAGGAAAATAGGCTAATGAACTTTCAATTACAAAGAACAAACAGCCCAGGAACACATAACAGACAGAAGAAAAAGTAAGATACTACTTTAATGCAGAAATTCCTGCATGAGGTTGAAGACTTCTGAATCCAAAAAGCATGAAAAGATGTCAACCACAAGATCAGGAGTTCTTCCTTCAATCCCACTCATCATACACTTTGAACAAGCAAACAGCTGGAAATTATTGTAGAAGGTGCAAGTTTATCCATTTCCCCTGTCTTTCCCTCATGTTCATTCCCAGAATTGGGGGAAAAAATGACTGTGAGACATTGATACAACAGTACACAACGATAAAAGAGCCTGAAAATCCGATAGGCTTTATTCAGAATGGCAACCAGAGCCTCAATCAATGATGTACCAAAAATATTGTACATGTTATTTTCTATGTGACTTTACACCATTTTGTAGAAGAGGTTTTGAACCAAATTGGTGCAATTTCCCAACTATTATCTAAATTTAATGCACTCTGTGGGTTGAGATTATTTACTTATGCAGTAAATAATACATGTACAGATACTAAAACAGCAGTACTAAATCAGGAGACAAGTTGAGGAAATAAAAAACAAATTATAAAATGCACTGAACAAACTGTTTTGGCAAATAATGTGCTGACGTAATTGATGCAAACCATTTACGGAGAGTTTTAATTTGGTCTAGAAGATTGTTGTTGGGGATCTAAAGAGACAGAAGCTTTAAACCTTTACCACGACATGTTTTTTTCCTCACTCTGTTCATAGCAACAACTGGAGATGGTGTTTCAGTTTTGCCTGATCATGAATTATGCTAATCCAAAAATAGTTTTGTAAATAAACACTCTACACTTCAGAAAAAAAATAATGTTTTGCTTCATACTTCATGCTCCCTTTATGGCTTACACCCTATTATTGCAATGGTTTCTTTAGAATTAGACCAGTCAGGGCTATGGTAACAACTGACACTAGTTCAGTGTCTTCACTCTGGACAACAGTTTAAATTTACTACTAATCGGAATAGAATCGCCCTTTAGTCATTGAACTGTTCCCTTCGTCACCTCAAAATAGCAGAAATTCTTGTCTCTGCATGTCAGTAACATCTGCTGGTTCAGGTTCAACTTTAAGTTTTCTGTTTATGCAAATTTCAGCTGTTAAAGGGTTAGTATCACGCAGTTGCAAAATTACGCACTGATAGGCAGTCTCTAAATTTATCTGCACAATTTTATTTGACATGCATAAACTGAGGCAAAGATCTTCTGTACATTAATAATAATCCTTTGTTCGACAAGACTTTGAAAATATTTTTTAACTTCTGTACAGTTATAGATGCTTTCTATAATTCCTATTTTATGACTGGAACAACTATTGGTCCATAATATTTAATATACCAGTGATTTAGTTTACATCGTTACCATTTGGTTAAAAAATTCCTTTGTTTACACTGAAAGTGAGACGGACACAACCAACACTACATAAGGGGTAATACATACTAGATGTTAAGAAGTGGTTTGAAAAGGTTAGGCAAATATCTGCTACAATCTACATTATTATTTTTAAAATAATATCCTCAACTTTATGAGAGTCCATTCACTTTATTCCTTTCTATTCTGTCCTCCTTCACACAAGAGGCCTCACCTGTAGATTTTAACCCCAGTTACCATTAAGAATTTACTTATTGCTACCTCTTTCCCTTATCATATGGTACTAAGGGGCTTCCATCAATAATACATCTCAATATGAACCTACCTCCCAGATGCTAGTTAAGTTTGTGCACTAGCTCTCTGGAAATTCAATACCATAGCTACCTGGGTCACTCGTACAATTTCTATTCACTTGTTATGTAATCTTGTTTGCTCTGAAGGGTGGCATTTTGCAATGTCATCTCTTATTACCATATTGTATGTATTTCAGGAGCATGAAGCATGTACCTGAGAAGCAGTCTAGAGAGCAGACTGTTTGACTCTTTACCTGGAGTCTGGGTTCATAAACATGCTTGTAATGTTCAAGGCTTGGTAGCTACAGAGAGGCAGGCTTCAATTGGAGAACATGATCGTCAGTGGGATATAATCATAACATTGCTCACAGATGGGTGTATGTTGAGAAGATAACAGATGTTTCGATCTGGATTAGACTTCAGCATACTGCACTGCCATCATTCACAAGGTCCTCGCCTCACACTGTGGTTGCCAATCCTAAAACCCAGTATTGCAGCCTTCACTTCCAAATCAAATTACTATTTTTAAAAAAAGTTGACTTTTATGAAGTTAATTATTTATGAGGAATTTCCATTCTCAATAACTTTGACATCTTAGTATTCTCAGACAAACCTTTCTGAAGTAAACAAAAACAGAAGTTGCTGAAGCACTCACCAGGTCAGGCAGCATCTATGGATACATTCACAAGCAGTATTTTGCTTTCTGGTTAAAGCCTAGTGCAGTAGTAGCACTCTCGCCTCTTGAATCAGAAGGTTGTAGGTTCAAGCCCCACATCGGGACTTGGAATTCCAAAGGGAGATTATTACGGAGGTCCTTCGGGTGAGATGTTAAGTCGAGTCTCATCTGCCTGTTCATGCGGATGTTAAAGATCCCATGGCACTCTACAAAAAGAGAAGGGAGTTTCTCTTGGTGTCCTGGCCATCCCCCAAATATAATTGATCATTCACTGCATGGCTGTATTGGTGGGACATTGCTATGTGCAAACTGGATGCTAAGCTTCACCCACAAAATACTCTTGTCAATCTATTTTACAGTATATCCTACAAAGCGCTTTGAGACTTCTCAATGATGTGACAGGGTGTTATATCAAATGCAAGTATTATTAGTACTATTTTGCAATGCCAAGTTTCCTGTCTGTCCTCAAACCTAATGCATTGGAAGTTAATGAAAATTAATAACTTTGTTACCACCGTTCTGATGCTAAATGCTGCTAAATCACACAGAAATGATATTCACATCTTGTTTGTGTCATATGTTGCGATGTGCAAATTGTCTGCCCATTTCCTTACAAAACGCACAGTCATTGCACTTTTCAACAAATGCTGTGAAACGCTTTGAGATGTCCTCCTGACATGAAAGGCGGGCACTATACCAAATACAAGGATTATTATTATATGTTACATTATATTAATAATAATGAGAGGACCTGGGTTAGATTCCCAGGCAGCGCAAAACTTTGGGCGAGTTGCCTTACTCCCCGTGCCTCTGTTCACCTAACAGTTAGTAGGAACTTAGTTGTTAGTCGACTGGCGGATCGCTTTTCCAGGGGTAATAATTCCTTAAAAAAAACATTTGTGTTTTGTTTATGGGACACTGCTGTGCGCAATTGGCTGCCACATTTCACCCGCAAAATATACAGTCAATTCACTTTATGGTATATTCTGTGAAGTGCTTCGAGACTTCTCGAAAATGTGATAAGGTGCTATATCAAACACAATGATTATTATTATTACTGTATAACATTTTCAACAGGAGTTAAAGGCATCTATCTATTGGAAATTAAATTAGTAATCGGATTAGGAATCATGAATAATTTGCTGAGTCCTCCTACAGCTCAGAAACTGCAACTAAAATTATCATCTTAAAGGTTTGACCTTAAATTGAATTTACAGAATTGAGCACAACAGAATTATTTAATTGATATTCAGTGGAAATGATTTTGAACATGTAAGATTTATTTATTTAAATAAGATTTGGTCCGAAATAATAAATATTACATTTAATATCTGAACATAAGGTATTCAAGTTCACTTTCCAACTCAAAATCAAGCTCAGCTGCAAATAATGTGATATAATATTAGAAATTTACATACTCTTGCCCCTGGGTTAGTAGGTTGTGAGTTTGAATCCCATGTCAGGGGTTTGAGTTTACTGTCTACGCTGACACTTCATTGCAGTACTGAGACAGTGCTGCCTTGTCAAAATTGCCATTATTCAGGTTCAGAAATATCCAATGAGATTACGTCTATTTGGTCAAGGGGATGTTAAGTTAAAGATCCCATGACACTATTCTAAAAGTGAAGGGAGTTTCCCCCTGGTGTCGAGATAAATTTGTCAATTCACTTCACGGCTGTTTGTGGGCCATAACTGTTTGTGAGATGTTGCTGTGTGCAAATTGCACACAGGAGTGTGTTGGAGCATCAGACTTATTTAAGAAACAACTTGATGATTTAAAGCAGGGACGGCCAATTTGCAGCCTATGGGAAGCGTTGCTGCCTATGTGACTATTCTACGCATGCCTAATGCAGCCTGCATGAGGGCTGTGGGTTGCAAGTTGCCATCCCTGCTTTAAAGGAAGATGGTAGGGCGGATGTTCTGGAAGACTGAGATCAAATGAGCAAAAGGCTTACTTTATCCAAACTGGAGGTAAAGGAACCAGAGGTGTAAGGGAATAGATCTGGTGATGATCTGAAGATGTGAGCCACACCACATCAACTCATCAAAGTTGATGAGATGAGGCTAAAGTGATTCTCATGATTATTCTGTATCCTGTTTCTTTTTTTAAAAAATCTTTCCTTCAGAAGGTGCTGCTTTGGGCTGGGGTATGGTTTGATTGGTACCAGCCTCTATCCAGTAAGTCGCCTATGTGACATTCTAGTTCACCAGGTGGGGGACATCAAAGCTGAGTGTGATCCTATTCATGTGTTGGCTGTTCGATCCAGCATTTAAACACCGATAAACTCATTAAGCTCATTGACACCCTCATTATTTGTATTTGTTAAAGTGCTGTCCATTGGTCCATTTCATTGATATATTTAGAATAAGTACAATATTTAATCGAAGAACTTAAACATAATGAATTGAGTGCTACATTTTATGTACCAAGGTTTTCACAACGGATCTATTACTACAACTTTGTGGGATCCTACCCCTCAGCTTCTTATTTATTTTATAATGCTAGACATACATGAGTATTGAAAGCTATGGTTTAACAACCATTTGTAGTTTACAGCTTAGTAGCTGAGGTTAAGTGGGTCATCATCCTGGCCTCTACCTCATACGTTTTGAGTACAACATTACATTTTCTGCTCTGTTGGTCGTCCAAACTCAGTGCCAATCTTGGCACTTATAATAAGTGATTTTTTTTGTGAACTTGAGCTCAAAGAATAAACATATTTTCTTAAAATTAATAAAAAATTGCCTGAACAAAGCAACCTCATAATGTTCATAAATGTTCAAATCAATGCAAACTTGGAATTCCAGGAGCAATGCCTGGTCAGTGCTACAATTTGCAATCTCAGCAGTACAGAGTAGTAATACTGAAGCTAGTGTTTGGTCTTTCGAGCTTCCGAGCTCTTCTGGGGAAACAGGAAAATCAGGCAGACTCCCACTGCTGATCACGAACTAACTAGTGACTGATGCTGGAAATAATCATGTCTGATCAGGTGAGCACAGCACGAGGTTCAGATCTGGGAGCCCAATTGTCGGACAACGTGCCATCAGTCACAGTTTACAATTACATACAGACCGGCCAAAGAGCACCCGTTGAACTGTCCCGCAGTATGAGTAAGTTCTTTCAGAAGAGGAAGGTGGAAAATTGGAAAGAGCAAAAAATACTTAAATAGTATAAACAGTTTCGTCAGAAGTATTTGCATTCTGGTCAGACATGCTGGACAGTGAACCATTTACCATAAGATGAACATTAGGTACAGGAATGTTGAAAGATGTTCTTTACAAGGAAATTTCTGGCTACCGTTAATACAAACTGTCAGATATTTATGTACAGATATTGAGACTAATTGAGTGGGCGAGGGAAATTCTAGGTGTTTTCTGTAATGCTGTGATTTGCCGCTCTCATGCATCAATGGATTTCCATCACCAGCATTGTGAAGCCCTCGATTTTGCAGTAAA